CTATGATAGATGCTAACGGCCAAAACTATCCATCTTATTGTACAAACGGGCTAACATGAAGCTGATGGTAAAAAGCGCATCCAGTCTGTCAATCTCAAACCATAGAAAGAGTCTCAAATAAACTTAAGTTTCATACTCCATCTAGTGGAAATGGAATACCTGGCCAGGCACCGGCGTACTCCTTGCGGGCGCCTGAAAAATTTGTGTCGATATACAAGCTCACTACAATCAGAAGTGCGTGAGGAGTGCTACGCCATAATATTCTAAACAAAAGTCAACAATTGGGTGAAACTAGCAGAGGATGTCTATGATAGATGCTAACGGCCAAAACTATTCATCATATTGCACAAACGGTCAAAACTAGTCGTCTTATTGTACAAAGGGTAACGGGAATCATTTGTGTGCTTCTATTCACTACATCAAGGATTGTGATTCTAGGGGCCTTGATGAATGATCACGAGTCACGCCAGTCGTTCATTCCAATAAGTTTCAGTTTTTGAGGTACCACAGCAGGCGATTCTGATGCTGCCTTCCTTGCTGCATTTGCTTCGTCGATTTCCTTCAGTAACTGATAGTGGTCGTTTGGAGTTTATAACAACAATTACTTTAAGAATTCCGAAGAGTCCGGAGTAAGTACTACACCGCAACATTCATTCTAGACAACAGTCGAAGATGCAAACTATGCGCATACTTCTTGGTTTGATAGATGAGATCTACGTGGTGAAGTTGACGGTAAAAAGCGGATCCAGTCTGTCAATCATAAATCATAGAAAGAGTCTTAACTTCGTGCTCCATTTAGTGGAAATGGAATACCACAGAGCCTTCTCCGCTTGTGCGACTTCCTCCTAGCCTATGCCCGCCCTGAAAATTTTATAGTAAAATGCAATTTCGGACTAGTCATCTCATTGTAGAAAAAGTAACTTGGATCATTTGTCTACTTCCAGTCATATCAAGGATTGTACTACATAAAGCATTTTTTACTCCCTGACTTCCTGCCCCCATGTTCTGTAAGTCAAGTCCTATCGAGTCACGAGCAGCAGATCTGTGAAAGAGTTGCAGGGCATCGGTGAGATTGATGTAATCCGTGAGATTCAGGTAGGCCGTAGCGAGTACAGTCTTGCGTAAGACCGTTTTGCACATCTTGCCTGTCATCTTTGTCGTCGTAGATAGTAGTTCGATACTAGTTAGATACTAGTTAAGTAGATACTCCTACTTCTGTGTCTTTTGTAAGAACGTCTCAGACTACAAGATACTAGTCTTCTACTGTTCTGTCTACCTTGTCGTCTTAGATACTCGTGAGGTGTGTCTCTTACGGACACTAAGATCTTTAAGAAATTCTGCCTACTCCGAGAAGTCCTATTTCTTCTATCGTCCTTTTTCTCCCTCTCAAACAATCTGGCGATAAACTATATCAATCAAGTTGTTCTATTAACCCCTTTCGTTAATCAATTGATACCAACTCCCTATCAAATTGATCTATTCGCTCCCTTCTGAAGTAGCACTTATTCAACCCGTTGAAACCAGAAGTACAACAGTGTCTCTGTATAGCTACAATTTTTACGTTGAAAAGTACGTTGATATCTGTACTTTGATCTCTATACAACTACGTTGAAGGAGTTGTGTCGCTTGAAAACGTTGTTGTGACAGTTTCTCAATAGCTGAAAAACGTCGACTCGCAAGTTGTTTTGTTTGAAAGACGAAAAATAACCCGAAGGGGAAACAATCGTACGATCGCGCAAGACTGTAGACGGAAAGTTTTGGGTTGGTCAGGATGATAATATTGACGACGACGATGATGAGAATGATGATGATGATGATGAGAATGAGGATGATGATGATGATGATTGTTAGCTTCTCAGACAGAAGTAGAGAAACGACCCTCATCACGAATGTCTCTCACAACATACCTTTTACCTCAGCACGCACAGATTACAGAATCATTCTTCCCTTACAGACCTTGTCGTTTTTAGTGCTCTTCTCACAACTACGTACCTCCTCTTCCCTCAGCACGCACAGAATAGAGATCACTTCTTTCCTCTTACAGAGGGTTTTTCAATTGTCTCAACGAAACGCTCCACGAAACAGGCATGTCACTCTTCTCACAATAACCGTCTTAACCTTAGCTAGGCTCTGCCCTCAGCACGTACACAATACAGAATCATTTCTCCTCTTACAGAGTCGCTTTTTATTAGCTGCTCTCTCTCTCTCTCGTGATGAGTCAGAGTCCATATTAAGACAAATAATACACGACACATTCCATAGTCTAGAGAGAACTCATCGATTCGTCGGATCTTGCTCAATCCATGAAAACGTGGGGATACTCTCACTTCATGAATGGCTGAGGGCTTTCTCATCTGACGAATGCCTTTCAATTTCAGTGCTTTCGGCCAAAGGCCCCATGCGGCAGCTGCGGAATGCAGTTTATCAGAATACATTTTTAGCAGTTTTTCAGCTCACGAATACATTTTTAGTAGTAGTTTTTCACTTCACGAAAACATGTAGTAATTTCTACCCAGTTCACGTTGCCTGCTCTACTTTTCGCTGCAACCAAAGCAACCTCGAGGAAGGCTACGTTCATAACAGCAGAAGCCTGGAGAAAGCATGTCAATTCGTCTCAGCTAGCTGGAGTCACGGACCTACAGAATGTTGTGTCCTTTCAACAAGAATATGCAGCTACTAGGCGGTTCATTTAAACAATAGCAATAGCAAGTTCTCGCATTTATTGCGATGACTACCGAATGACCCGGCGCATCGTTTCTCTGACTCTTATCTTCATCCCAACAGACTTTTTTTTTGCCTACTTGTTTACAACAGCCCGGACATCTACTTGCGTGACTTGAATCGGGGTTGTGGCCCGGATTTACGGATTCAAAGAGAAGACAGGGACATTTTTTCTTAGTGTGAAACCTGTTTGTACTATCATGGAGGATACGACATACGAACATTCACGACTTCAGTGAGGTCATTTTTTTTTCACATCGTCAGTCTTCTTCCTCTTAATAATGCATTCACATTCTTTGCTGAAGATATAGGCGAATAAAGATGCGAGAATTCTACTAGACGATCACTTTCATGCGATTCAATTCAATCGTTCGCTTTTTTTGTAGCGCGAGCGAGTTCCGTGAAGAACCTGCCGGCATATTTTTCTTGTGCTGAAAGTAGATGAAAAGAACAAGTTGACGAGGACATCTGTAGGCTCAATGGTAATACTTACTTTGTCGTGACACCTGCTGCTCTCTACAACTATTTGCTTCGCCTGCATTTTGTAAATCGATCACTGCTATCACTGCGAGAGGTCCATGACTATTATCACCACTACAAAAATGCAAAGATGTCTCAAACCTTAGTCTTAGTCTTAGGTGAAGTGGCATAAAAACTCCCACAAGAAAATAAGCAGAACCCTCCGAAGTCTGTGATCAAGAGTAGGACACTATCGCGATGTTGGAGATTCATGATACGAAATATGAAAGTAAGTGGCACCAAAATAGGGTAGGGTAGGGATTGGCTCGCCTCGAGGAGGTGAGCGTGCACGACTATGAATTCGCCGAAAAGTCATCCTAGTACTGGTGGAATTCTATGTAATATTTGAGTCATCCTAGTTTTCGTGGTGGAATTCTGTGCGTCTCCAATGCTCTTGGAAGAAGTCTATTTATTTCCTGCGTCCTTTGATGAAGAACTATATTTCCTCCAGTCTTAGGATGCTTGATGGATTCCCGATTGGGACAACTTGATTGATTCCCTAAATGTTGCACCAAGCACCTCCCGTCGCAGGAAAAG